AAGGGATGTTATACCGTACTACATACTATATACTATATACAAACAAACAACAAATCTAAGAACAATAAGCTCCGAATGACAAGTAGTGTGAATCGTGGTTGAGGGCGCGATGCAAGACTGGGTAAGGGACACAAAAGAAGAAAGAAACAGCCAACAGGCCTGTCACGAATATTGACGGGTAGTGACAGAGAAGAAGAGCACCAAGGGGCAGTAGCAAGCACAGTACCGTCTTACTCAGTCACAAGCCAGATCTATTTCCAGCCCCAAAGGATCACACACCAGCTGATGATACACGTAGGACGGGGAAGCATCCGCTCGCTCCGCTTCGCCCCTCACTCTCCCGTCTGGCCAGTGAACAGCAACAGCGATCTGACTTCCATATCTTCGAGATCAATGTTATGTTCCGCCTTGAGATGACGTCGGACGTCGTATACCCTCCAGAACCGCATCCAGCACCGACCGCGGCCAGGACCATCTCCAGATCCATCTCCAGCACCATCGCCAGCACCATGATTGTCGATCTCGGGATGGACGGTGTTTTCGGCTCCTGCCGTAGGCTCATGCACATGCAACAGCTCGTCCTCTTCAACGCCAGGTTCCTGTTTCACGACCACGTGTTCGATAGTCGCGGGCTGCTCCTGCTGTGTGTGTTGAATTGAAGATTGAGGGGCTTCCAGAGCTCGTCCAGGTGGTGTGTGTCCAATGAGCGAGGTAGCAATGGCCGGATCGATACCAGCCATAAAATCGTCCATGGCGAAATGAGGACAACCAAATCGTCTCATCTCCCTCACGTTACCCGTCAGAGCATTACCTGCCGTGGCCGGCGCCCTCGTTCGCGCCGGGTCGACGACACCGAGAGATCCAGATCCAGATCCAGGTGCTGAGGGCGTGGCGGCTCGTGAGTGTGCCGCGATGTGTTTCGTGAGTGATGCTTTGTGAGGGTAGGCTTTGCCGCATCCTTCAATAGGGCAGACGTGGTTTCTGATCTTGAGGTGTATCGCGCGACGATGGGCTTCGAGGGCGAATTTCTGTGGAGTGATCAGTGAGTCAGCCGAGCTGTCATTCTTCCCTTTTCCTTCTTTATTTGTTTGTTCTTCTGGCGAAAACGACCCTGCTCTCTTGCTTCTTGCTATATAATCCCCAAAGACAGCTCACCGACCCACCCGCTTGACCGAATGAAATGATCGCCCACAACCAACTCACCGTTTTGAACCGCTTCTCACACTCGTCATGATCACAGAACCAGTCCTTGCCCGCTTCGCCACTCATCACTCTCCTCAACTTGGGACTCTTCCCGCCATCCGCATCTACACTAGCCTGAACAGCTAATTCATCCGCTTTCCTCTTCCTCGCGCGCCGGGACAGCCCGTCCGCCAGTACAGGAGCCATCTCCATCGCCGACGCCGCTTGTTGATAAGCTTCGCCCTGGGTTGCTTTGGCGAGCAACGCCGCCCGGTCGGCATCTTGCTCTGCGTGAGTCTTAAGATGACTCTTTAGATGGTTGACGGATTTGAATGCTCGGCCATTACATTCCGCGTGCGGGCATACGGGTGGATGCGCCTCGTGCATGTGGGTCTGGAGAGCGGACCATACGGGGAAAGAAGGGAAATCGGCACCGTGTGATGGATGAGAGCATGTGTATCGTGTTGCTGAAAAACGAAAAGAACGTCATCAGTACTCTCGACTTTTGATCTCGAAGAACGAAGAAGCGAAACTCCGAGTAATGCTCATATCATCCTTATTTCAGAGGCTCACTCACGATCGTGCGTCTTCTCGTGCGCTTTCAATTTTGCCTTCACCCTGAAACTCGCTTCGCATCCTTCGTAACTGCATATGAAAGGTTTCGTCCCTTCAGGCATGTGAGCGAGGGCCACATGCTCTCGCAGCAGATGAGCTTTGTTGAAAGAGCTTTCGCATTGCTCGCACTAAGGTTTGAGACAAGATAAAACGGGAAATATCAGTAAAAGCCTGGGGGTCGATCATATTCGTAAAACCAACAAGCAGGGGGTGAAACTGTAGAAAGGAGAGGTTACTCACAGCATAAACTTCCGCCCTGTCATGCATTTCCTCATGCCTTTTGAGATGCGTAGCTGTCCAGAACGACTTTTCGCACCCTTCTCTCTCGCATCTGTACGGTTTCGCATCTTTGGACAGATGCGTTCGCATGTGCGCTGTCAGATGAGAAGCTCGGAGGTACGATTGTCCGCATTCGGGGCATTTGTGTGGACGCTGAGCGAGAAGTGCAAAAACCCGATCAGCTGTCGTGCGACTGGGCTCTCTAATTAAGAGACTCGAATTCAGCTCACCTCGCCGGTATGACTGAGTTCATGTTCTGCTAATCTGGAAGGCTTGAAATAAGCCTTGTCGCATCCCGGATGGGTACATTTGAACTTTCGCTCAAGCCTTGAAGGGGGCAGTGATCCTGCTCTAGACGACTTCGATGAAGATGCCTTTGGCTGGCGAGGATCGTCCCCTTCATCGTCAGACTCCAGGTATTCCTCTTCAGTTTTGGCTTTGTGAGAAGTCGGAGCTGAGTAATTCTGTCGTAGGGTGGACTGTACGATAGTGGGCGAGCGTAAAGAAGGGTCGATATTGTCTACCGTGACCGGCAACGGCTGGTGATGATGAGGATAGGCCGTTTCGACAAGCGACATGATTGCGGAACTCAAGGAATCAAGAGAAGGTCAATCAAGAATGGCAACAGGTACGAGGACGAATTGCCGGATGAGTGGACTCGCCTCGGTCCACTTGCTGATCAGTTCAGAATCGAAGTTGAAGAGAAAGATAAATCCAAGAGTGGCCTGTGATGGATGGATGTCCTTGGTCTCTTGGTCGGGCATGGCCAGTTTTGGAAATTTAAGTGGAGGTCATAGCGCAAATACACACAAAATACACACATGCATCAACAACGGAAGCAAATCAACTCAAGTGAGTGCTGGACAGAATGATAACGTAACGATCTAAAGAAACCAGGATTGCCACATCATCTCCAACTAGCACTAACTTACTACTACCCTGGCATTTGAGCTTCGACGCGTTTCATCTCTCGTTGACTTTGTTCGCGATTCACTCGTGACATAACAAGCCAAATAATTGGGACATCAATATATAATACATTCGAAACATCTAACGACCTTCAACGACACCGTCACTCGACAACGAGGAGAGCTCCACGATGGCAGTAAGTAACCTGTTTCCATGCTTTCTGGCTGTCATACAGTCTGTTGGTCACCGCTGAATAATGTCTTCACTCCTCGCACAGACGTATCACGAAGGCAACGCACCTACCCGCCGGCCGGATATCAAGAGGAAGTTGGTGGTAGTAGGCGATGGTGGTGAGTATCCAGGACCCTGTCTAGTTGGAAGGCATGGCTATGCGCGCGCGAGAGAGAGGGAGAGAGAGCGGACGTCAGATAAGAATAGGAAGACATGGACAGCGGTCAGTGCTGATGCTAAAAATGGTATGTATGTATAGGCTGCGGAAAGACGTGTCTGTTGACCGTGTACGCGGAGAACAGATTCCCAGAGGTGTGTGATCCGTCTACTCTCATATGACTCGCGCGCACATGAATCATTTTCAAACAACTGATGTATGCTTATACGCTGGTGCGGAATAGGAATACGTGCCGACCGTCTTCGAGAACCTGATCACGATGATCCCCTCACCAACGGACCCTACAAAGATTATCGAGCTAGCTCTGTGGGACACGGCAGGACAAGAAGACTTTGATCGACTGAGACCGCTGAGCTACAACGATACCGACGTGATTCTGATCGTGTTTGCTTGTAATCATCGACCGAGTCTGATGAACGTACAAGACAAGGTGGGTGCAGCGCGCTGTCTCAACACAGGGGGAAAAGCTGGTCACCGGGTCTCGATGATGATGGCGTTCGATGTGGAGATGGAATGTTGACTTTCGCTGAACTTGCGACGGACGCCATATGACGCTTAGTGGTATCCCGAGATGGCCCATTTCTGCGAAAACGTCCCCCTTCTCCTGATTTGCACCAAGACCGACCTCCGTTCCGACGCTCAAACGCAATCGCTCATGGCCGCGCAGGGCACGAACCCAATAACGTCTATAGAAGGCGAGCGGGTCGCGAAGGAGATCGGAGCGAGAAGGTATCTCGAATGTTCGGCTAAAGAAGGTTGGGGAGTGAAAGATGTGTTTGACGCGGCTGTTAGGGAGAGTCTGAGGAAGGGCGGATTGGGCAAGATGAAGGGGAAGAAATGTGTCGTACTGTGATCGGGTGAATCGACTCTGGATCCGGACCCGAAACGGCTGTTGATACACGACAAGGCAGGGTCTGAGGTGGTGGGATTTTTCTAGAATTCGATCCCTAAGCAGGGGCGTTCCGAGGGGAAGAATTGAGGGGTACACGCGAATTAGACTTCTGACAGCAAGGGCGTCTCTGCGGGACGAAGAATCAAACACGCATCGCACGGTCATCAAAGCCGCGACCGAGTATACTTCGCCGAAATAATGTTCGCATCAGGAAACCATACCTACATTATCCAGATTCACCCTCCTGCTTTCGGCCATCCCAGTCTGAACCTTACGATACTCCCATCTCCTTCGTCCACCTCAATAACAGGCGTTATGCCCCTATCTACACATCGGATCACTCGCAACACCCCACGACGTCTCTCTTCTGCCCCTCCTCACCTCATGTCCTCTGTACGACCATGACCCGTTGTATATCTCTTCTATTCTTCCAACGAACATCCGAAACGAATGCGACCTCGATTGATACCCACACTTGGCCTTACCGGACCGCTCTAATATGCGTCCATTGACTAGTATATATCCTCTGTTATAGCTATATACCCAGACTTCACTTCCAGAGGAATTATGTCACACCATTGATTGCAACACAAATGACCAGAGGCAACTTGACGCAAGAGTGAATGCAAGCTGTCAAACAAACAAACAAGTAATTAGAACGTGGCTCCCTGCGGCGACTCTGAAGTATGAAGAGCAACAAAATGCACAAAACAAAACGTCAGCACTCAGGATTCCCACCTGGTCCCCCACGATGGTACTAACTGAGCGATATCGAGGTTAAAGATTACGCAGATCAGACGGGATGCGATGTTTTCTCGATTCTATGGCCGACGATGAGAATCTTGCCAAGTGCATGATTCTATGTATTGGATCAGATTTGTGACGGTGAGACAATTATAACGGTACTACAAGGTACATTTGAGGACATAGCGCTGCAAGAACGCTACATCTGCTCACGAAATGCTGAACGATCCCGCACAGCTAGCAACCTTACCCCTTGGCCCCTGATCACAGCTTAAGCTGTTTCCTGATAGCCTCCTCCAGCTCATCTTCTTCGCTCTTTTCATCAGCTTGTTCCTTGCCACCCCCTATCGGCTCAACTGCCTCGGCGCCCTTCTTCGCCCTCTCAATTGCGTCACTCTCGTCTTCGTCATCCACTTTACTCGCCTCTGGTCCATCGTGCCTCGTATCAAGTGCCTGATCAAGTCTGTTGGGAGCACCTGCCGAAATCCCAGCTTCGATCTCCTCCGCCTCGCGATACTTCCTCTCCAGCTCTTTCCTTCCCTTCGCTATCACCTCCTCTAATTCTTCGTTCCAGCCCAATTCCTCCGCTAGGCGCCAAACACCATCATCCGCATCGCCCTCCCAGTACATATCCCGCGATAGCTTGGCATCGTGCTTCTTGTTTTTGCTCGGTGATCCCGCTCCAGGCTTCAAGGCTTTGTTCAAGTCGGCCAAAAAGCCATTGTGCATCGAGCGGGAAGACGAGAGGGTCGAAAATGGGCCGACGGGTTCCCTGTTAATGAGTAATCTGGGACATGTTGATGGCACGTAGTCGACCAGCGATGCGAAAGGCTGTACTTGCAGTGAAGTACCAATGACGATGAGGAGATCGCATTTCTTTAGCTCCTAAAATATGACAAGACAACCATGAGTCAGTATGGTACGTAGCGTAGATATTTCCCAGAAGGCGTGACTCCTTGACGCGAGACGAACGACGCCCAACAGGCAGACTAAGTATACCTACCGGGATAAGCCTGAAGAACCTGTCAGGTAAACCTTCGCCAAAGAAGACGATATCAGGCTTCACCAATCCACCGCACTTCTTCTTGCCCTTGCCCTTATCAGCATCTCTGTCATGCCCTTGACATCGCACCACCTCGCCCTTCCTCACGCCGGACCTCAATACCTCTTCGCGGTCCACTTCCCTCTTACAGTCCAGACAGTGAGATCGCGCGAATGATCCGTGGGCTTCTACGATCTTGTCGGGGTCGAGTCCTGCAAGTGTCTCGAGCGTGTCAATGTTCTGGGTGAAGATTCTTCGCAGGACTTTGTGTTGTTCTAAGAGCTTGAGGAAGTAATGTGTCGGTGTCGGCTGAACATCTCACAAGGAGACGTGAGATTCATTAGATCGATTTCAATTTGTATCTCCTCATACTACCCGAGTCATCGAGTGAATTGAACAAGTATCGAATACTCACGAAATGTTTGCCCGGATACAGCTCCTTAGCCAAGATCCAAAAAGGCTCAGGATTCTTCCTGAAGAAGCCCAACTCAAACACCGCTTCGGGGAACGGTAGATTCAATTTCTGCAAGTTATGGTACAGCCCCGTTTGAGGAGATCTGAAGTCTGGTATTCCGGCCGAGGTGGATATACCGGCTCCTAGAAGCAAGATGACGTTCTTGGCTGATGCGCAAGTGCGAAGAGTCCACGAGTCGCGCTTGGGTCAGCGGCAATCGGTGAATTTCTCCTAAGGCTGAAAGCAATGCGAAGTCTGATGCGCTCGGCAAAAGGAAAGACAGATACCCACCTTTACCCGATTTGATCAGATCTGCGACCCGTCGCATGGAGCTTGACTCGCTTGACGAAGATGAAGCCGCATCGGATGCGGATGGCGGTTGAGCCTTTGCGTCAGGCATGGTATGTCCTCCTGATAAGTAATCTGAGGAATGCGTATTGGTCAGAGACATACTTGGATCGCTAACGCTGCTCTCCTCTTTGGGCTTGACCACATATCCTTCAGAAACAGGCGTTGACGGTGGAGCAGTAAGTACTCACAGAGTTCCAACGTTGAGATCTATCGTACAGAAGGTGTTGAGTGAGCAATGCTCAACGACCGAAACAGCTGATACGAAAATGGGTCAAGCAGAGCAAGGAGATGAGGGAGAATCGGTCAGTCTGAGGCTGATGCTGATACAACGTCTGAAAGTGTAAGAAATGTCTGATCCGGCGTAGGAGATAGGAGCATTGCTTTACAGTTGGTCGTGGTCGAAGACACTCCTTCTTTCGACACCAGCGACCGAAGACGTCAAAGTGGAGGTCGACCACTCGATACGACATGTCATTTGGCCCTTTTTTGCCACCCAGTATAATCATTCCCGGTACATGATTGTAGCATCGTACTTGCGGACGTAGTGGACGGCTGAGATTGGCATATGCATGGGATACAGTGATATTGCTGGTAGATGTAATCATGTTTCGATGCAGGTTGTTGAATTCTAGATGAATTATTGCTGTTCTGATACTACTATACAACTAATGACAGGTCTGCGTACTAATCCCTTCCGATGAGACTCTTCATTACAGATGGGTTTGCACCACCTCGAACCTTCTCTTGATCTCTTTCAGCCTCGCCTCCTTCTTCCGTCTGGCTTCTTTTCTCTGATCAGCTGCTGCGTTCCTCTCCCGCTCCCTCGCTTCCTCCCCTGGCGGCAGTTGTAACCGAGCCTGAGCTCTGGGCGGACGTCTAGGATGGTCGGTATCAGCGTGGTGAGTATGAGGTGGATGATGAGGGTGGTGAGGGTGTCGTAAGCGGCTGAGTATACCTCGACGTTGGGGCTCGGCATGAGACTGGGTCGGTGTAAGAGCTTCTACTTGCCCCGCTGTTTCGGCTGGGCTATACTGTGCGTTTCCCAAGGAAAGTGAAGGGCTTTCTGCTGTCGGCCGAGGATATTGTATCGGTGATGAGGCAATGTACGACCCGTGCAGTGGCCCTGGGTGTGACTGTTGTTGATGCCCTATCAGCAGAATCGGAGAATCTTCCGCTAGGACCGACTCGGATCGCTGAGAAAGGTCACTGTCGTCATTCTTGAGGTGCTCCAGCTCGCAAGCTGGAAAATCCGGAATAGTCTCAGGTCCAGACAAGTCTGCCTTTGCGCTCGTCCAATCAACCTGTACTTTCTCATGCTGGGATGCCTGGGGAGCCGATTGAGCAGGATACGAGACATGTTCCTTTCTGGATCCGCCTTGGGGACCGGGCGGCGGCATCGAGTTGAGTGCTGAGAAGAGGTCGAATGATGCGCCCGAATCCAGGCGTGTTCTCGTAAAGGTGTTCGTTACTGGCGAGATTGACTCTGGCGTTCTTAGCATGGGGGATGCACCGAAACTTCCAGGGGTCAACACGTCGAGAGTCGGTCCGGTGGTGTGTGCAGTCTGGAAAGTATGCGATCCACCATGGATGGTCGATCAGTAAGTCTATTCGCAGTCCTGCATTCAAATAAGAGCAATAACGGTAACTTACGGCTCGGATCACGGGGAGCAACATTTCTCGATGAGCCTTTCGAGCATGCCATGCCGCTTTTACACCGCGCATGAGAGACGGGTCGATAAACAGAATAAGCTGTTATACATCCGGCAGCATCAGCATATGATAAGCTCTTATGGTTACAAAGGCTTTCTCCGCCACGTCTCAAAATCTGAACTCACTCCTGCAATGAGGGTACCTCGCCCGCCGTATAATACCACATATATGGTATAGAACCAAAACGCGTTGTTGTGCCGTCCTACTCCACCAGTAGCAGACAGGACCAAATCTCCGACTATGAATGACCAGTGGGAAAGGCAGGTCAGGTGAGCTCTCTTGTTCTGCAGAAGTCTAACCGCAGCTTCATAGGTCGAAGCTCGACACTCACCGATGAGAATCGTGTTGATGAACATGAGAGTGATAGGGTACCAAGATATTTTGATTGCGATACCGAGGAATTTGTCTGAGAGCGAATTGAATTCGCTCGTCGTGTTCTTATGATGCACCTCCTCTGCTGTCCTCCAGCCTTTCCCCTTGACCAGATTCCCGATCTTCTCCCCTTGCCTCTGAAGCCAAGTGGGTTCAGTCTCTTCCTGCGTCTCCTCCGACCCGTCAGATTCGCCCATCTGCGACAGTCCCCCGATAGTGCCAGATCGCATTGATTCGGTCGATAACGGACTACCGCTAGAGTCGGTAAGGGATTTATCATTGAACAACTGGCCACCACTCCCAGCGAAGAGAGCTCGACTCGTCGCTTTTCCTTGGCGGAAAAGGACGACCAGTGTCTGTGTGCAGCGAAGAGGTATCTCTTCAGCAATCAGCGTTGCTAGGCGGGTGAGAATGATGGACCTAGTGAAGCACTCACGATCCCCACGCAAACGATGGACACAAAGCATGAAGCGATGGGCGCCAGATACTACAACGCATAAGTCCGGTCAGCTTCGAGCAGTCCAGACTAGTAATTGCGCTTCATCAGGCTCCAGGACCATCCTATACTCACAACTGATGTTAACAGGTAGTAGGTCCGTTTCTTTCTCCGATCTGACATTCGGTACAAATCAGCGTCAATCTAAGACATCGATCCCAACCGCGTGCGTCGATGCTATGACTTACGACCCGCGATCCAACTGGGAACAAAATCGAGTCAGCGATGCGTTTCGCGTTGACGCGTGAGTGATAGAGGACAGAACGTACCAGTTCCCCAAAGAGGTGTCCCAAGTGAATCTTTGCAAGGCAGCCGGTATCAGAGGGAAGGCGTATCCCAGCACGATCGAGCCCGCGATATAGTATCGTTCGAGCTTGAGTTGAATAGGGTTGATGCCCATACATATTGTTAGGACGAGATTGATGGCGATACATGTTACGAGGAAATTGACCCTATGTGGGAGTTCAAATACGATGAGATGAGCGACAGACCTCAATTGTAAACTGGGAAAGCTACAACTGAAGACAAACCCTCACGTATCCATAGCTGCCAGCATGAAAAAGACACTCGGAGTGCACAGATTCGGTCCAGGGCTGTGGCCGGGCGAAAAGATAGAAGGCTATGTTGTGACATTGGTCCAGATAATCAGCATAATATTCCCTGG